AACGAATCAGGGAAAGTTGGGATTCAATGTGAGAGGGCAGGACTTGTGCTCTCAAGGCTTACACGGAGCAGAACTAGGTAGCAAGGCACTCAGGAGACAAGATTACAAGCGTCTTGTCCCGGGTGGAGATCCGAAACTGACACGGCCTCTTGAGGATTGCCTGCTTCATCACCAGTCCACCTGGCAACTCTGAGCTCCCACTGGTGACCCCTAAGTACTTGCAGTTAGGTGCTTAGACCTTTCAAGTGGTTAAAGTACAAAGTTGCGGGCAAATGAGATTGCAGATGTTTTGAATGCGGTGAAGGGTTTGCCAGGTGTAGACTCATCAAGGCATGGACGACCCAACAGTCCAAACCCTAAACCCCAAACCTTAAGCCCTAAACCCTAAACCCTAAGCCCCAAACCGTAAACCCGCAGTGCGCCAGGACCTCGACGTCGGGGCCTCGCGGCCACAAGCGCGGCCACAAGCATTGCGACAGGTAGGATCCAGTTTTCGAGCTAGGATGTGTTTCTTAGATGGCTGTGTGCTACAACACGCTACAGCTAGGATCCTTTTCCTAGAGATTTCCCAGGTTCAGGTTTTATTTCATGCTACTTCTTGGTTCAGCTGTGTAGGGTACGCACTTGTTGTCTGCGTGCTTGTACGGAATACAGCTGGCTTTGGCTTGTGTAGCGGTCAAAGAGTGTTGGGATTTCAGAAAGATTCGCGCTTCGGTCAAGGAGGAGGATTTCAGATCAGCTGCTTTATACCACACGCCTCAAAGACCCTAAACCTTCAACTCTCGATTCCAGCATCCTGAGCCCTAAGCCAAATACCCAACCCCTAAACCCCTGAACCCCTCAACCCTATACCCCCTAAACCTAAACCATCCTAAACACCTAAACCCTGCGCATCGAAGATCGAGCTTGGCTGGGCTAAAAGAGGGCTAAGGTTGCAAGGCTTTCAGGCTTTTGGGGATGGGCATGGTGTGGGAGTAGCGATAGTGCAGAAAATCTACATAAGTAGACTTCAAGATTCAGGGTTTTTTCGATTTAGGGTTCAGGGAGGGTTAAGGGTTCACGGTTTACGGTTTAGGGTTTACGGTTTAGGGATTTGTTTGATCTTCCCCCGTATATATCTTTGCACATGGAATCTAGGACCATTATGGTAGTTGTTGCGACCACTGCTACATTATTTTGGATGCTCTGGAAATCCTGATTTGTAGCTTGACGAAAGAAAAGCAGGCGGAGAGTTTCATAAACCTTAGATAATCCCTGAACCTTAGCCATTTGAAAAGGGCAGCGTATAAAACAAGCCTTATGGTCAAGGAATCTCCTTCACACCTTACAGCCTCGTCACAATTATTTTGAGCGGAAGGCAGTCGCCTGTGGGATTGATTTCGTTCTTAATTCAAGGCTCCGGCAGCAACGCAATCTGAGATATGCAGGGTATTCTTAGATCTCAAGACCAACCCCAAAACCGAAACCCCTAAAAGGAGAGTCGAACCCTAAACCCTCAAACCCGAAACCCTGAACCCGCAACCCAGCCCTGATGCCAAAACCCGAAAGCCTGAACCCCGTACAGCCACTGTATCTGATTTGTGGATGCTGTGTTTGATGCTTTGTCTTCAAGAATATGGACTAGGGTTTAGGGTTTCGGCTTTAAGTTCGGGCTGAGGGCTCAGGGTGGAGGGCCCCCAAACAGTTTGCCCCGCATGAAGAGTTACTGTATAGACCAAGAATGCACTTGACCCGGACGGCCTTACCCGCTGCAAGCACAGCGGACATGTTTAGGATACCCGGTTTCGAAAGAGGAGTCTTCATAGCAGCTGCTAGTGGTCCTTGGGCTTTTCTTAGGTGCCTTACGCGCTCTGAAAACAGCTGGGTTTCCCTGTGCTGGGTTTCCCTGTGCTGGGTTTCCCTGTTATAATAGCTTCAGACGTGGACGTGCTGAGGGCAGCCAAGGTTTTCAAGCCATTGCAGGCTACACCACGTAATGTAAAGTAATGTAGTGTAATGTAATGTAATTTAATGTAATGTAATGTAATGTAATGTGAACAATCCGTATAAACCACTATAAAAATCGGAGTTTCCATTTCATTGTTTATTTTGTGTCCCCTACAACCTATAACCGCCTTTAAGGGACCATCATATTGCTAGTGATTGAGGCTTGTATCTTAGCATTCAGTCAGTTGCAAAGCATGTCTTCTAGCTACAAGAGCTAGTCAGTCAGCCTTGAGATAAACCATCCCCTGCACAGCTTTTAAGAATTAGAGGGCTTTTGGTGGAGTCCTAAATTTCACACCAGCTGGTAAGCTGGCTGTTCTCCATCCCTCTTCCTGACAGGCATCATGGTTTGCAGAGTTCGAGAAGGAGCGCCGGCAGCAGAAAACTGCCGGCACACAGACCTTTAGGGGTCAAGCTGCGCCTACCTATCACTTTAACGTTGCGCGCCCAGCAGCACGAGTGTGGGCCCCGCCCAGGACCGCCGTGATGCTTTTTTTGCCACAGTAGTGCGTAGAGCGGTGTCATCTATTACTGCAGCAGGTGCTGCTGTTGCTACCATGCTTTAATGCTGCTGCGCCTACTGCTTGGAGTAGCAGCAGTAGCAATAGCAGTATAGCAGTATAGCAGTATAGCAGTAGAGCAGTAGAGCAGTAGAGCAGTAGCAGTGTAGAAGTAGCAGTCGTCGTTGTTGTTGCTGTTTGCTGCTGCTACTGCTGCTACTTCTGCTGCTGCTGCCAGTGCTACTTCTGCTGCTGCTGCTGCTGCCTTTGTCGGCTACACTAAGATAATGCTGGGCCTGTTTGCGTTCTTGCCGGCACCAATTGACGTGCCCAATATCGTGTTGGAGTTGTGATGTGTCCATTCACTGTGAAAGGTGTCCATTCACGCCATCTTCTTATTCAGCTTTGCGCGCGAAGAGACACATGACAAGGTTTTCGATTGTATAAGAAGTTGGGCCCTGAAACAAGATGGAAGGGCTCGGGTCCTCAGCTTTGCCTGTGCTCAGTCCAGCAAGCAAGAAAAGAAGGGAGGTGGGTTCAAAGGATGTTGACCTTTTAACAAGAAGAACACAGGTGAAGAAGACTTCCTGGGGAAGGTTGCCTTTCGCGCGCATCTCCAGGAAGGCTTTGGCATGTGGCAATGGTCTTGCAGGACAGTCGACGCTGACGCGGCTTTGACGTGGCTGCGGCAAGCGCAGTATGATCTCGAGGTTGCTTGGATTATTACGCAGAGGGGTATTTACACAAGTAAGGACTTGTGTACGCCCCCGCACAACGATATGGATGCAAAAGGGGCCCTGAACTTTTGGAACCTTTGCAAGTATGCGTACTTCAGGCTCAAAAGTTTGGTGGGTTTACCTGGACATTGGGATCTGTCTGTTTGAGGCTATGCCCTTCTTGTTGGTAGTACCTGGGGCTGGTGAGCTTTGAGCCACCAACAGGGGTTGCATATGCTGTATGAGCCGCAATGATTACCAGCATTATCTTCTCAGAATCTTGATGTATCCAGCATTGCATGCCCCAAAGCCCCCATCACAATTATTCAGGTCCTTACATGACCTCCACTGGCTGAAGTTTCAAACCACTTCCCCTGAAACTCAACAGAGACCTGCAAGCGCGTGATCTCTTTCCATTCAACCCGAATCGTTAAACACATCCAGATCTTTTTTTGCTGGGCCTTCCGGGAAAACAGAGCCATCGACTTTGTTGTCGTTTAGGTGTATAGTTACAGAACTTAAGTATGATGCGCTCGGTATGAATTTGCTGTGTACAATCAGGGAGGAGAACCCTAATCTGTGCTGAGATTGTTATTTCCATCAGTAGCTGTTTTCCCCATGTTGGCTCTTCGCTCACCTCTTCTTCAGCTGTAGTTTGCGGACCTGTATTCATGAACTCATTGACCTTCTGATTCCTGACCAGCCTTCGCTGCTCATTTCTTGCGTCTCTGCTGTCTACGAAATTCTTTCGCAGCATCTTTCATGCCATTCTCATCTCACTCAAGGACGCAAGAAAGATGCGCTTAACCCTAAACCCCTGCACCCCATGCGCCAAGCCCCTTAATCCCACGCCTCAAGGCCATGAGAAAGATGGCCTCAGCCGATGGAGGCTCACCTCAGCCAGCCTACGCCGTATGGTTGGCAGAGCAGACTGTGGAGAAGGCACTTCTGTGAGGGATCACATAGGGTCGGGGTGTTTTGGGCTTTCGGTTTGATGGGGTTCGGAACCCTAAACCCCAAACCCTAAAGTTTAGATTATTGGGCTTAGGGTTTAGGTTTTACCTGTGCGTGCTGCAAGAGATTTTCAGGTTCAGGTTTTGAAGGCCGTTATGTTGGGTGTTGGGGTGCCCTAACCCACCTAGTGTGGACCCGTGATTAATAAACCCTCCTCCCGTTAAAAGGGATCCTCCCCTTAATAGGGGACATATTTATATAGGGGTAATATTGGAGTTATTTTGGGATAATGGAAAATAGAATGGAAACTACAAGGAGGGTGTTTATGAATCACGCGTCTACGTTGTTCGTTTAGGGTCAGATTGTGTTTGGAAAGGTGATCTCCTTGCTCAGAGGCTCTCTTGACTTACTAAGCCTGTTTTGTATCAGTGTTATGGGTCTTCTTATAGGGGTCATGGGGGATCAGACGCAGACTTGCTAAGTCAAAACGTCATCCAAGCATGCTGCGGAGCATGTGGCGTCTAGCGTTTGTGAAGTTGCCTGTGTGTTTTTTGGGCTTTACAGTAGGTCATCAAAAATCCAATGTTCGGGTTTAAACAGTGGACACCCTAAACCCTAAACCCTAAACCCTAAACCCAAAATTAGACTCCATGGCTTAAAGCCCTCGACTCCCATGACCTCTGCGGCCGCATCCTGAAGACTTGCATCCCCAAGCTGTGAAAGCTTCAAGTGCTTCAACTCACCATTCACAAAGACCCTGAGACCTTAAACCCCTAAACCCTACACCCTAAACACTCAAAAGCCGAAGGAACCCCTAAGCTCTACACCGCGGTCAAATGCCAAGGCTTTAAAGTCTGCCATGTTACGAACTTGTGGCCTTGCCGAGGAGCCCTTGAAGGCTTAGGTGCTCAGGGGTGGCAAAGGACCTGGGAGAGCCCAGTTTCAAAAATGGGTTTAGGGTTTAGGGTATTTTGGGTTGAGGGTTTAGGGTTTAGGGTGTAGGGTTTAGGGTATTCTGGGTTGATGGGGCTTAGAGGGTTGAGGTTTGCGATCAGTGCGTTTCACAGTTTCGCCTGAGCACGGGTGAGAAACAAAGCGTTCAGTGGTTAAGGGTGTGTTGGCTGTAGAGGGATGTGGAGTTTGATAAGAACAGAAGCTTTCCTTCTTCTTGTTGAACCGTCAAATTCACAGCAATTCTGCGCAAGGACGAGGTCCAGGAGGTCATTTGGTAGTTTCCATAAATAGCGGAGCCCCAGTATAGAACATCTACAATCCATATCATGGGGACTTTCAAATAGGTATCCCTAATTTTAGGAACCCCCACCTTCCATTTTTGGGAAACGAACATGGTGACTTTCAAGCAAGTGCAAAGCCTTCCTCAAACAAATTATAATCTAAACATACCCTAGTTTCCCTGGGGCGCTAGGGCACCATGCGTTTATTGGAAGAGTCTGCTCAAACCAAAACCCGTCTCAGGTTCTTGGAATGACAGTAGAGGGTACCTAAAATAGAGCTCAACATCATATTGGTGATGGTTCAGGCGTGAACATAAAAAGTCGCTAGCCCCCAACCATGCCCCCTCAACCCTAGACAGCCTTGAACATTCCTTGGAACCGCAGAGGAGGAATTTACAGGAAGGATGGCCCACGATTTGCCAATGCTCTATGGCCGCTTGTGCGATGCCAAGCCTCAGACAAGCAGCCAAGCGCAGGCACTCAAAGATCTCCCTGCCAGCCTTGAAGACACTCGGACCACACTGTTTAGGGTTTAGGGCTCAGGGTTTAGGGTTAGTTTACCTTCAACATTGTCGGACCACATAAAGCTGTACTGCAAGCCAGAATGATAATTTTATGGGAGAAGATCCTGGACACTTAAGTAATTACAGACCCTTTCTTGTATAGCGCAAGGTACCTAACATTTCTTCATTCTCCCCGCGGGAATCATTCTGGAAACTCTCCACTCGCAAGAGCAAACCCCTTTTTTGTTGAGACTTTTCGCATCTTCTTATTCCTGCGACAGTCGGGCTTGCTTCCTTACCCTAAACCCTAATTCCCTGAGTGCTGGCCAGGACATGACATGGCTGAAGACGGCCTACCTGGCCACGCGCTACCCAAACGTTCTTCCCCGCGGCCAGGTAGGTTGTTCTCAAAGTGCTGGGAGGGTTTAGGGTTACGGTTTGAGGAACTTAGTTTAAGTTACGTTATTGGGGAAAACACTATTAATTATTAAACATACCCATTCTGGTAGCTTAGTCTAAGTTCCTTAACGGTAACCCAGAGGGGCCTCAACGAGCAGGATACAGTTTATAGTCCTGCGTAAGTAGATAGAATGTGGCTTTGGGCAAGTTATAATAAGATCCCCATATACCCTATATTCTTTCTACTTAAGGGGGACTATAGGGGTGTGACCAACAATAATAAGGTACAGTGTTGAAAAGATGTTGGTAGCTATTCAGGCTTCTACATGTAGAAGCCGTTGCGCCATCCCAGTTTCCATCTCGTTTTTCCCTTCAACGCGATAGGCGTAGTCATCTTGCTGGTTCTTAGTAGGGAATAAAGGAATTTATGACAGGGACTATGCAGGGATGATATTTACTCAGTCCCTACTACTAAGAACAAGTAAGCTATTCAGGCTTCTATGCCACCAACCCCTAAACCCTAAACCCCTAAACCCTTAAACCCTAAACCACTAAACCACTAAACCCTACACCCTAAACCCTAAACAAGGTGCCAGCGCAGGCTTATGACATGGCAGCTGCGCAGCGTGCTGGCAAGGTTGCGGAGCAGTTTCCTGGTCTTATCTTTGGTTAGCTAGGAATGAAGGAATGGGAAAGAACATGGAAACTACTATAAGGTTTAGGGTTTAGGGTTTAGGGTGGGAATGGAGGAATGGGAAAGACCATGGAAACTACNNAAGAACATGGAAACTACTATAAGGTTTAGGGTTTAGGGTTTAGGGTGGGAATGAAGGAATGGGAAAGACCATGGAAACTACTATAAGGTTTAGGGTTTAGGGTTTAGGGTGGGAATGAAGGAAAGGGAAAGAACATGGAAACTACTGTA